TTACAGAACCCATTCAGTCCCTAAGACAATAAGTGAGGGCAAAGAAGAGAGTTACATATTCAGAAAGAGGGAACGACCCCAACCAACACAAACAGAATGAACCCTGCAATGCCAGATTGGAATTGGAGATGATGTGAACTCCTGGTTTTTAATATACATAATTGATATAGAAATAAATATAGAAGTACTGTGGATTTGCTGGTATACACACAGACACACACACAGAGATTCTCCAGCTCTTCCCAGAGGACTTGCTGGCAGTGATACCCCAATAGCAGTGAGTACCCCTGGCATTCAGATCTTTATTTTAAAATAGTATTTTCAGCTGGGTATGGTGACGCATGCCTGTAATCCCAGCACTTTGGGAGGCCAAAGTGGGTGGATCGCTTGAGGTCAGGAGTTCGAGACTAGCCTGGCTAACATGGTGAAACCTTGTCTCTACTTAAAAAAAAAAAAATATTAGCTGGGCGTGATGGCATGTGCCTGTAATCCCAGCTACTTGAACCTGGGAGGTGGAGGTTGCAATAAACTGAGACTGTGCCACTGCACTCCAGCCTGTGTGACAGAGCTTCCGTCTCAAAAACTAAGTAAGTGAATAAAATAATACTGTCCATGAAAAGGACCCAGGGCTTCTTGGAGAAATGACTGATTCCAGAGCTGAGGCAGGCAGACTGCGAGATGAGCCTGGAACGTACTGCATCAGAAAGTAAGAAAGTGCTCCAAGAATAGTAGGCACATGCCTGAAAGATTCCCACTGAAAGGGGCTTTTATTGGCCAGTTCAGGGACATTTTGAGCATCAAAATAAATAATGATTACAATGGATTACAATCCATTGAATAAAACAGAAGACCATGAAATCCATAGAGATAAATTTCACAGTAGAGATGCCCAACAAACATTGCTTTAGTCAGTGGGACAAATAAAAATCGTGTACCACCTGATAGGCGGCACCAAGTAAACACAGATTCCATGATATTCCTGCAGAATGCAACCTATGCTAATTGTGGAAAAGGAAATGAGACAGACCCAAAGTGAGCCGTATTTCACCAAATAACTGGCCTGTAATCTGTAAAATGTCAAGGTCATGAGAATTAAAGGAAAGCCGGGCGCGGTGGCTCACGCCTATAATCCCAGCACTTTGGGAGGCTGAGATGGGTGGATCACAAAGTCAGGAGTTTAAGACCAGCCTGGCCAAGATGGTGAAACCCCGTCTCTACTAAAAATACAAAAATTAGCTGGGCATGGTGGCCTGTAATTCCAGCTGCTCGGGAGGCTGAGGCAGAGAATTGCTTAAACCTGGGATGCGGAGGTTGCAGTGAGCCGAGAACGCACCACTGCATTCCAGCCTGGATGATAGAGTGAGACTCCGTCTAAAACAAAAAGCAAGGGAAAATCTGAGGAAGTCTTCCAGACTGAAGGAGCTAAGAGACATGAATAAAGAGAAATGTAACATATGATTCTGAACTGGGTCCTTTTGCGATAAAAGATATTACTGGGACAAAACTCAATGGGGTCTGAGGATTCAATGTGGTAACTTCTTGTTAACTTCTTGATTTGACAGCTGTGGTTACGTAGGAGAAAATCCTTGCTGGTGGGAAACACACATTAAAGTATTGGGAGGGGATTGGGAAAACTACTCTAAATGCTTCAGGAAATGTTCTCTAAGTTTGTGATTGTTTCTAAACAACATTATTTGGATAATGCACACTTTGAAATGATATGAAATTCTGTCACCCTTGAAATTCTGTCTTAGCTTGTTCCTGTTGCTATAACCCCATACCTTAGACTAAGTAATTTATAAACAATAGAAAGTTCCCACTGTGCTGGAGGCTAGGAAGTCAAAAGGCAGGGCACCCGCAGATTCGGTGTCTGGTGAGGGCGGCTCTCTGCTTCCAAGATGGCACTTTTCTGGCTGCATCCTCCCCTGATGGAAGGGCAAAAGGGATGATTCCTACATCCTCACGTGGCAGAAGAGACGGAAGGGCCCAAAGAGGCCTGGCTAGTGCCCTCCAGCACTTTCATAAAGGCATGAATCTCATTCGCCAGCGTGGAACCCTCATGACCTAATCACCTTCCAAAGTCCTCACTTTCTAATACCACACCTTGGGGTTTAGGTTCCAACATATAAATTTTGGAGGGACACAT